AGTAAACTTTTAATATCTCTAAAGAACTTTTTCCATCAAAAACAGACTTCAAGGTCTTATCCTTTGTGATCTAGTTTATTTCCCAACCACTCAACTGTCCTAATTGCCTCTTTTCATAACTCACCCTAGAAAGTTTTTCTGAAGCATCTGACAGGAATAAAAAAGGCTTTATAGCATAGTACAGAGGCAAGTCCTTCAAACCAGACTGGCAGAAATTGAATTCTGCGACTATTTGACACCTTGGTTAAATTGCTTAAACTCAGATCTTAATTTCATTATTTGTAAAACAGAGATTATGGTAATACTTAATTCAAAGTTCTTACAAGAACATACAGCACACTTAAAACCACGCCTAATACATATTAAGAGCTCAAGTAAATATAAGATATCAAGAGTTTGATATGAGACTTTAAGTAAATATGAGACATTGAGGTGCTGGAAATGCCAGAATGAATAAAGACCCTTGCCTTCATGGAGCTTATATTTGAAGGAGAAAGTAGGCAATAAATTAAGATAACAAATAAAATATATACTATATTGAACAGTGAAAAGTGCAAAGAAGGAAAACAAAGCTGGAAAGATCAGAAAGTGAAGAGGGTAGTTGCAGTTCTAGATTCGGTGACCAACAACAGCCTTACTTAGAGGGAGACATTTCAGCAAGGCCTAGAGGAGTTGGAAAAATATGTCATACACTACATGGAGAAGAGCATTTCACACAGAGGAAACAGCAAGTGCCAAAGCACTGAGCCTGGGCGATGCCTGGTTTGTGTGAGGAATAGCAATGAGGACAGTGAAGATGTAGTGGGTGGGGATGGGGGGTGAGTTGTAAGAGATGAGGTCAGAGAGGAAATAGGAAGGGTGAAGTCACATAGAATCTTGTAGTTCTGGCTCTGCCTCTAGGAGATAATGCCAAAGGAGGGTTTTAGGTACAAGAATGACATGATCTGACTTACATTTTAACTCTGAATTGTGTTAAAAAAAAAAAAAATGTTGCGGGTGGGATGCAAAAGAGGAAACAAGGAGAGCACTTAGGAGACTACTGCAATAATCCAAGTGAGAAGTGATGGTGGCTAGGACGGGGGAGATGCTAAGAGGCAGCTCGGTCCAAATAAAATTTGAAAAAGAAGTTGACAAGATTTGTTATTAGTTTGGACATGAGGGACTTCTAGTTTGGATATGAGGTATGGGAAGAAACAGTGGTCAAGAATGACTCCTCCAAAGTTTTTGGTCTGAGCAACTGAAAGGATGGAGTTGACATTCACTGAGATGGAGCACTCTGTGGGAAAGAAGATCAATAGCTCATTTAGTTACAGACATTCAAAGGGAGTTGTCAAGTAGAAAGGTATTCTAAGAGCAGTCCAGACTGGAGATAGAAATTTTTCAGTCATCAGCTAATGAACAGCATTTAATACCATGACATTGGAAAATAATGGTGGATAGAAAAAGGACTGAGCCTGAAAGTATTCCAAAATTCAGAAGTGGGGACGATGAGGAGAAGACCAAAAAAAAAAAGTGATGAAGAGCCAAAGAGGTAGGAAAAAGACCAGGTGAAACACTTTTCCTGAAATTGTTCCAAGAAATGATTTTATTAAGTGCTGCTGATGGATTAAAAAATCACCTCCTATTGTTTCTACTCCAAAAATATATTCTGATGGTTCCTGTTTATTCCATTTCTATTTTTATAATCCAAGTCTCTCCTGTGAACTACTTCTCTCTCCCACCCACCTCTGCCCTGGAAAACTATTCTCTATATGACAAGCAATATCTTTTCAAAATATAAAGCATGTCACTATCTGATTTATCCTCTAATTGCCTTCCACTGCATCTAGAATAAACTCTAAACTCCTTACTTTTGCCTACAGGCCCTTTATGATCTGGTATCTGCCTACCTTTCTGACTTCATTCCTCTAATGTTACTCCGCTTGTTGATTTCTATCTACACAGGCATTCATTCTGTTCTTAAAACATATCAGTCTCATTCATGACCTTGGCAACCCATCTCCTATACCCAGAATATACCTCCTTGGTCCTTCATCTGGCTGGATTCTCAACATTTAGGTCTCATAGCTCAAATATCTCCTTAGAGAGATCTTCTCTGATTATTCTGTCAAGAACTAAAATTATTTCGTCTGTTTAATTATATATTGTCCATCTCTCCTCAGATTGTAAATTCTTCAAGCATAGGTATTGTTGAATATATATATATATATATATATATATATATATTTGCATATACATGCATATATATATATATGCAGTATTTGAAACTTTGCATGTAGTATGCCTCAATAATTTGACAAAACACCAGTCCTTTAAAGCCAAAGGAATATTAAAAGGACACTAGTTTAACTTTTTATCCAATGCAGGCATTATTTTTATATCATCTATGACTAGGTCATCATTTAAGAACATCTCAGACATCTCCAGTGATGGCAAGCTTATCACCCCATGATCAGTTCATTTCATCTTGAGACAGCTCTCCTTGTTTGAAAAGTCTACTTTATACTGAATCAAACCTCTCTCCAAATAATTTCTACCCACTGCCCTTTGGAGTTATGCCAAGTAAGTCTAATCCCTCTTGTATATATAGACCTCACAGTTTAGAAGACAGTTGTATATCTTCCCTACTTCTTTCCTTTTACAGGACAAAGATTTCCATTTCTTTCAGTGAGTCCCCATTTGGTGTGGTTTTTCCAATCTCATTCTTTCTATGTTAGTTTGGAAATTCCTAATTTATTTATTTCCATTTCAAAATATCATGCTCAGAACTAAATACCATTCTCCCCACCCCCTCCAATTTGTTCTGGATAGCATAGTGGAATAAATATCTTTCTTAGTCTGTCTAGACATCACACTATGATTTATAGAAGCATAACGACTATTCTGACAGTTCTAATAAAAAGCCTGTATTAACTAAAACGTCAAATACAGTTGGCCCTCCATATCAGGTTCCGCATCCATGGATTCCACCAACTGTGTTGGAAAAACAATAAAACAAAAAATAACAACACAACAATAAAAAGTAATATTTTTTTAGAATGCAGTAATAACAACTATTTACATAGCATTTATATTGTGTTAGGTATTATAAGTAATTTAGAGATGATTTAAAGTACACAAAAGGGTGTGCGCATAGGTTATATGCAAATATGCAATTTTATTTTATTTTATTTTTTTATTTTTATTTTTTTTCCTTTTTTTTGTCTTTTTCCGTGTCCGGCAATGGATCGCAACCCTCAGTGTCGCCCCCGTACCGGACCGGGACCGGCAACGGGATCGCAACCCTCGGTGTTGCTCCCGCGCCTCGCTCAGCCAGTGAGCGGGAACTGGTCTGTATGTGGGATCCAAACCCTCGGCGGGAGCGCCGCCGCGCTTCCCAAGCGGCGCACTATAGCAGTGCGCCACCGGGCCGGCCCCAAAATATGCAATTTTATATAAGTGTACTTCAAAAAGTTCATGGAAAGATTCATACTGTCTTTCAATTTTATTATTCCACAAACTTTTTGATGTACCCTCATATAAGGGACTTGAGCATCCACAGATTTTGGTATCTGAGGATAGTCCTAGAACCAATTTCCCATGGATACCAAGAACAACTATACTTTTCATAGACACTGCTGTCAACCCAAGGGTCTTCCATTTTCTAATGTGAAGATGTTTTCTGAACAACTAGGTGAAATATTTTACATCTATTCCTGTTAAATATATTTTCATTAGTTTTAGTATAGTGTTACATGCTATTTTAATCTTTGAATCCCAGATCTGTACTTCACATACTAAAGATCCCTCCAAATTGTGCCATCCACATAATTGATAAGTATTACTTCTATGACAACATCCAAATCATTGATAAAAATATTTGTATAAACGTATCAAACACAGAATCTCATCACATAACAGCATCACATCAGAGAGCCTTTTCTCTGGTTGATACTAACATTATGTATGGTCGATGAGCTATTCGTTCTCCCAAACAGCATCTTCTGATCTTTAAAAATAGCATGAAAGACATTATTAAATGCCTCTCTAAAATCAAGATGCTCTGTGAAAATAAAGTGTGTTATTAACAAAGACTGCTTTTCATTCCCTCCATTTTATGTATGTATATTCATACCATTATATGTGTATATGTGTATCATCATATATAAATTATGTACACTATTTTCATTCCAATGGATAACTACCAATACAAGATGTAATGAATATCAATATTGTCAGCACTCTCAAAGTAAGATTTTATATAAATATATTCTCATGTTTATAAAAATATCACTTAATTCAAATTGATTTAAATCTTGTTCTAAGGCTGTTTGGATATCTTTGCAAAGGAATGCTAACAATGAGAAACAGCATAACCAAACCAAGAATATGTTTTCATATATACGCAATGGATAAAAAAAAAAAAATCTCTGTCAAATAATAGGTTAATCAATCCAGAGGCCTCAGAAAACTAAAGATAAATTCAACATTACCTATATTTTTAAAGCTCTCATCTGCCCTATCATTGAACTGGTTTTAACTGAATTACATGCATATTTAGTAAAATGAGTATATTTTTAACATTACATAGACCAAATTAACAGGGAATAGTATTTTTAGTAATAAAGGCACTTTAAGAGTCTGAAGATTAAAGCTGAAGGTATGGTCAAAAGCACTCTATCAAGAAAAATCTATCATGTCTATGTCACAGTATCATGATACTGCAGAACTTATTTTGGTGAATTGTATCTCCATTCTGCATTATCAGCTACTGTACTCAACTAAATGGGACTCATAGCAACCACATATTTTGCAAAGTAACATAAATAATTTTACATTACTCTTCCTATTTCAATGATCTTTATGAGGAAATTCTTATTCACTTTCCTAATTTTTCAAACTCTTTTTTAGAAAACGGGGAGAATTTTTGCTTGGAGATATACAACTATATGAAGCCCGCTGCTACTGGGAAAAAAACACGAAATTTCTCTTTGTTCAATACAATCATTTTTGCTTCTCAGGAGAAAAGGGAAGATGAAAGACCGACTTCAAGAACTAAAGCAGAGAACAAAGGAAATAGAACTCTCTAGAGATGGTCATGTGTCAACTACAGAAGCAGTGGAACAAGGGGTGTTTCTGCAGCAAGCTGTTATATATGAAAGAGAGCTTGTAGCTGAGAGATACCTTCATGAGATCCAAAAACTACAGGACAGTATTAATAATTTGGCAGATGATGTTCAAAAATTTGGGCAACAACAGAAAAGTCTGATGGCTTCGATGAGAAGGTTTAGTCTACTTAAGAGAGAATCTAGCACTACAAAGGAGATAAAAATCCAAGCAGAACACATTAACAGAGGTTTGGATGATTTAGTTAAAGAAGTTAAAAAGTCAGAGGCCGAAAATGGCCCATCATCAGTGGTCACAAGAATACTTAAATCTCAGCATGCTGCGATGTTCCGCCATTTTCAGCAAACCATGTTTTTATACAATGACATGATAGCATCAAAGCAAGAGAAGTGCAAGACATTTATTGTCCGTCAGCTTGAGGTTGCTGGAAAAGAGGTACCTGAAGAAGAACTAAATGACATGCTTCATCAAGGAAAATGGGAAGTTTTTAATGAAAGCTTACTTACAGAAATCAATATCACTAAAGCACAACTCTCAGAGATTGAACAAAGACACAAGGAACTTATTAATTTGGAGAACCAAATAATGGATTTAAGGGATCTTTTTATTCAGATATCTCTTTTAGTAGAGGAACAAGGAGAAAGCATCAACAATATTGAAATGACAGTGAATAGTACAAAAGAATACGTTAAAAGTACTAAAGAGAAATTTGGACTAGCTGTCAAATACAAAAAAAGAAATCCTTGCAGGGTATTGTGTTGCTGGTGCTGTCCCTGCTGTGCCTCAAAATAAAAAAAGCTATTTTAAAAAATGTTTCCAGCCTTAGGGTGAAGGATATTCCATATGTCAGTGTCTGTGTTGTTTTTCATTATTTCACGGATACATTCACATACCTTTCATCACTATTAAGTCATAATTTCCCCCTTTTACCCTAACACACTACAATTACAGAAACTGCTGAACCCAGTGACATAAACCAAGTCTGTAATTAAACTGAAAATAATATAATTACCTTCAATTCATAGGTTAACTATTGGAAATGAGATGAATGATCTTAAGTTTCTGGTCAGGTATTAAGCTCTATTATGCATTTTTGTAACTCAATATATCAACAACATGAATGTTCAAATTAAGTGATGACTACTTAAATAATTTGTTTGGCCCATTTGAGAATATTTCAATAGTTAAGAATTACGTAGAACAAGACCTCAAAGGGTGCTATAATAAAGCAAAATCAAACTAGAACCCATATCAAATCTTTTATCCTCAGACAAGTAAGTTAACTCAGTAGACGAGAGATCCTGGGAAAACTCACCTATATATTTGATGAAAAACCTAATTGGTAACTGGGAGCTGAATCTAGCTTAAGGCCAAAGAAGGTGAGTTAAGATACTGCTTTCTTGAACTTGAGTCCATTCAGGACACTGTATTAGAGATCAGGGGGCATGGCAGATAAAGTAAAGGCAATTGTATTCTTGAATGTTTTACCATCACTTTATGATGACACTACTCTACGGACTAGGGATATAGTTTGAACTCACACAAGGATAGAGTCCTAGAACTCACATTCAAGTGAAGAAAGCAGATAACACACAAATACAAATAGCAGATAATGTTAAGTTCTGGAGAAAGACTTAAAATAAGAGAGATGAGATAAGATAGAAATTGTCAGGGTGGCTTGTTTAGGTTGGGTGGTCAATGACAGCCTTTTTTTTTTTTTTTTGTCTTTTTCGGTGTCCGGCAACGGATCGCAACCCTCAGTGTTGCCCCCGTACCGGACCGGGGACCGGCAACGGGATCGCAACCCTCGGTGTTGCTCCCGCGCCTCGCTCAGCCAGTGAGCAGGAACCAGTCTGTATGTGGGATCCGAACCCTCGGGTGGGAGCGCCGCCGCGCTTCCCAAGTGGCGCACTATCCAGTGCGCCACCGGGCCGGCCCCAATGACAGCCTTTTTGAAAGGTAATATTTAAGTAAAGATCTGAATGATGAGGACCAAGGGAGGAAACAAATAGTACAAAGACCCTGAAGAGGGACTATCATTTTATAATTTTTGTGATTATAGAAAATTCTAATTCTTTAAGATTTATTTCCTTCTATTGAATGGCTGGATCTTCTCAGAGGTCTGTTGTTTTATTTGGTCCTTATGGGGGTGGGGGGAGGAGAAAGTTAACCAGGTAGTGAATGAGTTCTGAGAGGCTTTTTGGGTCCTACATCAACTAGCTTAGGCTCAGAAAAGGAATGAACAGAAAAAATGAGATGCTGTAAATGTATCTGGCACATGAGCAGTCCAGCTGTGTGCGGGCAGGAGGGATGCAGCTGTGTGTAACAAAGAAAACTGTCACCTGCTTCCTAATACAGGTATCATTCCCCTACTCCACAACACACCAGCCTGCAGCACTGAGCTTAGCAAGGGTCTGTTGTCTAACCACTTATAATCTACTAGCTTCTTCCCATTTATTATCCACTCACTTTTTCCCAGTTATTACCCGGTTGATTTTTCAATGCCAGACCTACTATTATATGCTAGGCATTATCTTAGGTGCTGAGGTTATATTAGTTAAAAAAAAAAAAAAAAGGACAAAATTTCTTATCTGCATAGAGCTGAGAAATGAACCTGAAGAACTTTAAGCAAGAAAATAGTAAAATTATCAAATTTGCATTTTAAAAAGCATTTCATATTCTTTGCACATTCTTGCATTGGTTCACTTGTTATAACAAGCATGTACTGGTTTTGGAATGTGAAAAAAACATTCAAAATAAAACATCAAATAAAGAAAAGAGCTTCTGCTGGCAATGTAGAGGAATGCTTGGAGGGCAGACTGCTAGCAAGGAGAATGGTTAGGGAACTGTTGCTATCAGTAACACAGGGGAGAAGTGAAGAGGGGTTGAGGGGAGGAATCACTGAAGGGAATAAAGAGTAGGGAAGAGACTCAAATGTTATTAAGACGGTAGTATCAATAACAGGAAAAGGTAAAGAGGAGAACTTCCAAATATGGGGCTTGGGCAGACACATTCAAGAGGTACTTATAAACATATAAAAAAGGGCAGTATACAAAATTTTATATAATATATGAATATGCATAGAAAGTTCATCAAAATGTTAGCAGTAGCTGGCTCTGGATGGTAAGCCAATCGTTTTTTAAAAAAATTCTTTCCTGGGGCCAGCCCGGTGGCGCACTGTAGCAGTGCGCCACTTGGGAAGCACGGTGGCGCTCCCGCCGAGGGTTCGGATCCCACGTACAGACTGGTTCCCGCTCACTGGCTGAGCGAGGTGTGGGAGCAACACCGAGGGTTGCGATCCCGTTGCTGGTCCCGGTCCGGTACGGGTGCGACACTGAGGGTTGTGATCCATTGCCGGACATGAAAAAAGACAAAAAGGAAAAAAAAAAAAAAAAATTCTTTCCTACATCTTCAAAATTTATCAAAAAAGTGTACTTTTGTGTACATTTTGTATATTTCTGAAGCACATTCATTTCAAAACACAGTTTACATTTATTAATAAAAATTCTATGGTTGTAAACTTCCATGAGAAATGTTGGTCAAATAGCAAACCGTTCTGTATTTCATAAACTTACTGTACTGTCCATAATTAATTTGAATGTCTTTGTGTGTCCTGGCTGACTATGAGATTACAATGGTAAAGTAATAACCACCCTAGCTGTGTATTTTTTTCTTCTATTCAGGAAATCACTAGCTGAGAGAGGTGACAGAACTGAAAGCAGATATTTTATTGACAGAATTATATGATTACTAAGTAATCACTGTAGTCACTTAACAACTGCATGCCCCTACCTTGGGCTTTCCAAATATATCTACATGACTGACTCCCTCACTTCAAATGCTATCTTCTCAGTAAGGCCCATGATGATTATCCTAATTAAAAGAACAACATGCCTTTGTTGTCATCACCACCATAGGCTTCCTGATCTTCTTTTACCTGCTTCATTGTTTTCAATTATACTTATCATCTAATGTATAATTTATCAATTGCATTTATTGTGTATCTCACCACCTTGAATGTAAGCTCCGGAGGTCATACATGGATTTTTGTCGTTTTTGTTTCCAAAAGCATCCCCATCACCAGAACAATGCCTAACACATAGCAGATGCTCAATAAATTTTGCTGAATTAACTGATGCATGAGTAAATAAATGAATAAAAGAATAAATTAAATAAATATTTGGTTTTAACAAGTACAAACAGTTATTTTACAAATGACCAACAGTCATTATATATATATATATATATATATATATATATGTATGTGTGTGTGTATATATATACACACACACACACACACACACACACACACACACACACA